AAGGGCTCAGGGACTGAGAAGAACCAGTGGGAAGGGGTCTGATGCACTCCAACTTTTGTTCCTTCCCCCATCAGTACTTTTGGTGCAGGCATCGAGAGAGCCTCTACCTCCAGACATGGGTTGCTCGTCCCTAGGACAGGACAGCTGGCCTGAAAGGGGAGGAATTGTGACCCAGGGTACTGGAGTAGAGGCAGCATCCCAAAAGTAAATTTCCTAAATGCAGGCAATTCTCCAGGCAAGAGGGAAAACAGCCTGCAAGAAGGCTTGCCTGGAAGCCAAGGTGCTGTGGAAGCCAGCAGAGTGATGGGCCCTGACACTTCCATGTTCAAACCAAGAGAACAGGCTTTCCATTTTCTGGAACTAGAATGGACATCTTTCTGGTTTGAGAGGTCTGTGGATGATATGGCCTCAGAGGCAGGGTGTTGACCTCAATGACCCATGAAGACTCCTCCCAACCTTTGGTTTTAGGGCTCATTGTGACTTCTTTGCTTCACTTCTTAAGCATATCCACAGCAAGTAGTAAATTCTGATTGTTGACCGCTGAGACTTCCCTCTTATAGGCCTTGTAGCACTCATCGTGATGGTGCTCCATGACCGATGTTTGTCTCTCAACTAGGACAGAAATTCCCAGAGGGCAGGACCATGTCTGTCCTACTCACCTCCACATCCACAGCCTAGAACAGCTCCTGAGCAAAGCAGGTGCTCAGTCAATGTGACTGACCAAACGGATCAAGGTAAAAAGCTTAGGCTCCATCATATACCAATTCTGAAGGAGTGGGAGAAAAGGGAGCACTGTGAACAGGGGTGGAACCCCAGGCCACGTGAAGCGCTACATTCATTTCATTCCTTCTGTAAATATCTCTTGAGCACCTGCTATATGCCAGGCATTATTTTGGGTGCTAGAAATACCAAACCAGAAAAAACAAATTCATTGCCATCGAGTCGGATCTGACTCACAGTGACCCCTCCCTGGGTTTCCCAGGCGGTATCACTATGTAAGTAGATTGCCCAACCTTCCTTCTGAGGAGTGGCTGGTGGGTTTGAACTGCCAGCCTTCTGGTTAGCAGTTAAATGCCTTAGGCACAACACCACCCAAAGTCTCATAGAGCTTATATTCTAGTAAACAATAAACAAATAAATGAAAACCAAACCCACTGCCGTGGAGTCAGATCCAACTATAGTGACCCCTCCTTGGGTTTCCGAGGCAGTATCACTATGGAAGTAGATTGCGCAACCTGCCTTCCAAGGAGTGGCTGGCGGGTTTGAACCACCAGCCTTCTGGTTAGCAGTCAAATGCCTTAGGCACTACGCCACCAGAGCACCTAAACAAAAAAATAGGTAAGTATATATAATATGTCAGGTGGTAGCATGTGCTGATGAGGAAAATAACTCAGGAAGTTAGGTTTGGAGAGTACCTGGGGAGGGGTGACAGTTGCTGCTCTTGGTGGAGTGGTTAGGAAGGGCAAATGAGGCCTGGAGGAAGTGATGAGAGTTAGGGATGAGGCATGTGGCGATGTGGGGGAAGGGCATTCCAGGCAGAGGGAACAGCAAATGCAAAGGCCCTTCAGAAGTATTGGACTTGGTGTGTTCAAGGAACAGCAAGGAGGTTGATGTGGCTAGAATGAAAGACTGAGGGGGAATAGTGGAAAGAAGGAAGCTAGAGAAGGAGCAGAAGGCCAGATCACAGGAGAAATAAGACCACCAGAGCAGAGGCAAGACAGGACAGGGCCTGCATTCCAAGGGCTCCCTCTGGCTGCTGTGTTAGCATAGATTGAAAGGGAGCATCCATGGGATCAGGAAGTCAGATTAGAGATTATCACCATAATCCAGGCCTCAGATGAAGGGAATAGCAGTGGGGAGATGAGAAGTGGTCAGAACCAAGACATGTTTTGAAAGTAGAGATAAAAGGATTAGATGTGGAGTGTGAGAAAGAGAAGAGGTCAGGAGGCCAGGAGGCCTCTAAGGCTTCTGGCCTGAGCCACAGGAAAGATGGAGCTGCCTTTCACTGAGATGAGGAAGACATTGGGAGGGCAAGGTCTAAGGCTAGACAATCTGGTGTTCCGTTTGGGGCATATTAAGTAAGAGGCCTAGGTTGGAGATAGTACTTTGGAAGTCATCGGGTGTAGGTGGCATTTTCAGACATGAGACAAGATGCCATCACTACCAAGTGAATGTGGGAAGAGTGGAGACATCAAAGGACTGAGGCCAGGGATGGCACTGTTAGAGGAAGATCAGGAGGAACCAACAAAGGAGACACTGTCAGTGAGGCAGGAAGGACAGGTGTGGTGTCCCTGAGGAGAGTGATTCAAGACTGTGTCACTGCCCATACTGGCTCAGACAGACCTGAGGTTGGTAACCTCACTTACTCGCTGTGTGACTTTGGCCAGGTTACCTTCCTCTCTCTGAGCTTCAGTTCACCATCTAGAAAATATTGGGTTGTCTGGGGGATTAGTAAGCTTAGCTTGGTGTCTGGCACATAGGGAGTGCTCAAAGACCATGAGCTAGAGCTGTCAGCACCTGGAAGACTCCTGTCCAGGTGAGGAACCACAGTCTCAGGTTCAATCCTGGTGCCAGCCAATTAGTTTCAGGGAAAGAAAATCTGTGTGTCAGGCTCGGTTGCAACCAAGAATCCTGACTCCTCCCATCCCAACATCACCAGGACCAGCTAGCTTCCTCCTTTCTTAGTCACTACAGCAGAGATTTCCAAAAGTGTGGGAATGCAAGATGATTTTAGGTGGTTAAGTGGAACACCCCCCAAAATAATATTGAGTGAAAATGTTACCCATTTAGTTCTCTTCCAGCTCTTCTGGTTATATCAAGAAGAAGGTTTCATGTTGATGTTACTATGTCTTTACACCCCTCAAACACTTAGCAAAGAGGAAGCAGGCCTTGTACTTAGAGACGTCAACCATACCAAACAACTTCAGTGATACTATTGGGGCTTCTTTGCAGAAGCTGTGTTTGTAATCACTTTTTATGTATGGCAAGGAATACTGATTTTCCATTTCCAGAAGAGCTATGAAGCATTCTTTCTAAACAAATTCATGGAGGTAAAAAGATAAGTGAGATGATTTAAAGAAAATGCTAAGTAAACATGAGTTCAACTGGCGTGAGGTGCATGGAGGGAAGTAAGGCAGATATCCTGATCCAGCTCCTGCTTGCCTCAGATTTGGGGAAAGCTCCTTTAAAAGAACCCAGGGAGAGAGTACTGATGGTTCAGGGCAGCCAGACCACTGCTGAAGAACAAAGTCAGAGTCACAGCCACCGTCTAAGGCTCAAGAATGTTCCCCAGTGAGCACAGACAGGGAGAGAGCAGGGCTGCAGCCAGGACCTCCTGCACCCAGGGCCTGGCCTCCTAGTTAATACCCCAGCTGCAGCTCTGGGCCTCACTGCTGGGGTGCAACAGACAGCTGCTCCGGAGGCCCACCAAGGAATGTATTAGCCTTTCAGCCACCAAGAGGTCCCTATCCACCCTATGACCCCCAAGGCATCCCCACCCTCCAGGAGCCTCCTCCAGCTAAGGCTACACTAAGATGAACTTGCAGGGCCAGTTGGAACTTTCATGGGGCCCTGTGACCGAATTCTCTAGGATTTGAGCCTGCTCGGTCTAAACATTCATTCATTGGGTGGCAATAGGATGTGCATTCTGTGTGGCCTGGGGTGGAAGGAATAGCCACTCTACATCTAGATTCAAGACCTTGAGCTAACAACACCATTTCAAGTCATTTCTGATCACCTACTATGAACAGCCCTCAGCCCCATATGTCAGTTTGTCACTGTGATGGCTTGCCTGTTGCTATGATGCTGGAAGCTATGCCACTGTTACTTCAAATGCCAGCAGGGTCACCCATGGGGGACAGGTTTCAGTGGAGCTTCCAGACTATAAAAGACTCAGAAGAAAGGCTTGGAGATCGACTTCCAAAAGTCAGCCAATGAAACCCTATGGATCATAACAGAGTATTCTTCAGTATAGTGCTGAGAGATGAGCCCCCAGAGATGGAAGGCACTCAAAATACACAGTGGCTGCAACAGTGGACTCAAGCACACCAATGATTGTGAAGATGGTACATGACCGGGCAATGTTTCCTTGTATGTACATGGCACCATGAATTGGAGCTGACTTGACAGCCACTAACAACAACTGAGTCAAACCCATCCAGATATGGCCTGCCCTCATGGAGTTTGCATTCAAGTAGGGGAGACAGACAATAAAATAGACAAGTAAACTGGGGATGTTGTGATAGGGAACAAGAGGGTGGGAGACGGTGGACAGATATAGTGGTCAGGGATTGCTTCTGGTAAAAGGTGACCTGGAAGCTGAGAGTCAGGCAAGAAGAGCATTCCAAGCAAATGGAACAGCAAGTATAAACTTTGAGGCCAAAGTAGGCCTGGTACCTTCTAGGAAATGCCAGAAGAGCCATGTGGCTGGTGCAGAGTAAGAGCCAGCCAGGAAAGGGGAGAGGAAGAAATGGGCTTCCTCTTTATTTTGAGAGCAATGGGAGCCACTGAAGGGATTGAAGCAGGGAAGTGACATGATCACATTTATTATTTATTATTCTGGCTCCTATGCAGAAAATGGGTCATAGTGGGACTGGAGTGGAATCAGGGAAACACAGTAGGAGTCTATCCGGGTGAGAAGTGATGGCAGCTTGGATAGGGGAGGTGGAGTGGAGATGGACAGAATTCAGGAGGCAGCACCAAATGAGTGCTAATGGGTGGGGTGGGTGTGAGGGCAAGGAATTGTTCCTAAGTTTCTGGCATTTGATGGTGCCAGTTGCTGTGATAAGGAAGCCTGGGGGAGGAGCTGGTGGGGAGAGTTGGGACATCCTGAATTCCCTCTTGCACCTTACTTTCCAGAAGCCTACCCTGTAGACAGTCGGGCATTGAGTTTGGAGTTAAGGCGAAAGATGGGAGCTGGAAATGGCTGGATGACCAGTGGCTGCGCTCCATAGCTGCTCATTCCCTCCCCGTCCCATATCCTCCCTGCACACGCTGGTTACCTGCAGCGTCTCCAAGGCCTGGCCGGCCAGGCCGGTGGTGAGAGAGGCTACCTGCACCGCCTGCTTTCGGGCGGCCAGCAGGATCCTGCAGTAGGTGAAGCAGATGGCGCCCGAGGGCAGAAAGAAGGTAAGGCCGGATGCCACGAGGACGAAGGGCAAGCTGACCAGCAGGCGGCACTGGCCTGGGGCAGGCGCCTGTGCGCGGCCTGGCCTGTGCCAGCCCAGGAGCAGGGGCAAGAAGGAAGCAAGAGCAGCTAGGCTCCAGGCGCCCAGAACTAACGCCAGGGCGCGCGGGGGCGTCATGCGCAGCTTGTAGCGCAGCGGCGAGAGGATGAGCAGGTAGCGGTCGAGGCTAATGAGGCAGAGGTTGAGGATGGAGGCGCTGCAGCACATCACGTCGAAGGCGGCCCAGAGCAGGCAGAGGCTACGTGCCAGCACCCAGCGCCCATACAGCGCGTTCAGCATGGCCGGCGGCATCACCACCAGCCCCACCATCAGGTCTGAAGTGAAGAGCGACACCAGGAAGAAGTTGGACGTGTTGCGCAGCGCCGGCTGCGTGCAGATGAGCGCAATGAGCAGAGAGTTGGCCGCCGCGGTCAGCGCGATGACTGCACACAGCGCGGCTGCCACCCAGCCGCTGCCCCGAGGGCTCGATGGCGGCACCGACCCCCAGTCCGGGATGCTGTAGTTGGAAGGGCCCGGCTCTGGGATCATGGATGCGGGGGATGGGAGGCGAGCAGGTGAGGTCGGAGAGGAGTCCCTAGTAAAGTGGGCAGGAAGACAGGGTGAGGAGTGGCTGGTTAGTGGCAGAGACTCTTGGCGGAGCAGAAACGGGATGGGCGTCCTCGGGTGAGAATGGGTCACTTGGGGGAGGAGGATGGCAGAAGGAAAAACAAGCTAGGTCAAGGGGCAGCTACCTGAGGAAGGTGGCGTTATATGGGAGCCCTCGAGTGGGGTGCAGAGACACCTGGAGCAAACGAGTAGAAAGTTTGGGGGAGGGGGACACCCTTTGAGAAGCTGAGTCCCCCAGAAAGAGCAGGCACAGTAGGAGCAGGTGACCTTTGGAGGTTGGATAGGCCCCCTCAGATGGGAGCAGAGCCCCCTAGAGGGAGAGGGCGGTAAGATATGGGCGGGAACGCCTGGCCAAGACAGACCTGGGAGGTGGGCACAGGCGGTATTGGACGCTCCCCGGCTAGGGGCAAGGAAGAGCTAGGTGTGGGGCTGTGGTGTTTGGGGTAGCAGGATGGGGTCCCTGACAGGGGGGCACCCCGGGGCTGGGGCCGGAGGGAGGATGCAGGCCAGCCCCGCTGGGCTCGGAGGAGGAGCGGCCGCGCCTCCGCCCCCTCCAACCCGGGCCGGATTGCTGGCCCGGCTCCGCCACGCTCGGTACCTGGGGCGCTCTGCGCTGCTCCGCTGCCGGTGACTGCGGCAGGCCCCGCGGGACCGCGAGAGGGAGAGGCTGCCGCGGCCAGGGAGGCGGCGGACCGGGGTTCACAAGCCCGAGAGGCGCGGCAAGGGGCAGGCGCGCATGGAGGAACGGGCGGGTGCTGCCAGGAACGCGTGGTCCCGGCTCTGGGGGATCCTGCGCCCCGCTCGGTGATGGGCGGGGAGAGCCCGAGCCCCAGCCTCAGATGCAGGAGAGTGCCCAGTCCCCCGGGCCTGGGAAGGGAAGATCTGAGCGCCCCAGCAGTGCCGGGTCGCCTACCCGGCTGTCACAGCAGCCTTCCCACCTCCGCATGCCCCTCCCCAACCCACACGTGGAGGCGGCGCAGTTGAAACTCAGAGGAGGGGGCTGTGGCCCGCCTTTATCCTGGGACTGCTCCCCAATGGGGAGTCTGCCTGCCTGCAGCGGGGGTCACCGCACTATTAAGGGGACCAGGAGTTGGGAGATATTGGGCAGATCGCCTCAATTGCTACATGTTTGGGCCTCCGTTGCTATATGTGTGAAATGGGTTTATAATTTCTGCATCCTTCACCTTTGGTTTGAGCAGAAAGGCTTGGAGCAGCAGGTTACCCCTGCCTTAGGGCCTTGAGAGCAGAAGCCATCCTGCTTCCCAACAGCGCCAGGTACTAAGGATGAAGTCCCTCACCTGGCACTCCAAATCTAACAGAGTGTGAACAGATCTGGGAATCCTCCCTTGCTGCAGGGAGAGGAGTTACGTGGCATCCCTGGTGCCAAACCTGTGTATCTCTCCTTCCCTGTAGATCAAAGTCTCGTTCAAACACCTCATAGATGAATACTATGAATTCTATTCATTCATTCAACAAATATTTATTGAGCACCTACTAGGTCTCCAGTGCTGTTCTGACCAATCAGGACACTACAGTGAACAAAACAAAGACCACTGACTTCTTGGAGCTTATATTCTAGTAGGCGCTCTGGTGGCATAGTGCCTAAGGCATTTGACTACTAACCAAAAGGCTGGCAGTTCAAACCCACAAGCCATTCCTCAGAAGGAAGATTGGGCAATCTACTTCTGTAATGATATCACCTCGGAAATCCAAGGAGGGGTTGCCATGATAAACATAAGAAACAGTAGAGTACATAAGGTGATAACTGTTATGGAAAAGAGAGAATGCAGAACAGCATAGGAGGACAGAAGGTGCGTTGGTGAGGCTTTGGTAAAGCACTTGGCCGCTAACCAAAAGGTTAGTGGGTTGAACCCACCCAGTAGCTCCTAAGAGAAAGACCTGCCAATCTACTTCCATAAAGATTACAGCCTTGCAAACCCTGTGGGGACGTTCTCTGTCACATGGGGTGGCTATGAGTTGAAATCAACTTGATGGAACCTAACAGCAACTCAGGGGAGTGGAACTAGAGGGATAGTGATGGGGGTCTTCATCCCTCCACAGAAACAGAAAAATAATACCTGCTGTGTATAAGACTCCTGCTAGGTCCCAGAGGCTTTCTTATTATATTCACTCCTCAGAAGGAAGATGGGGCAATCTACTTCCATAGTGATACTGCCTTGGAAACCCAAGGAGGGATCACTATGAGTCGGGTCTGACTTGACAGCACATAACAACAACAACAACATCTGGGTGGTGCAAATAGTTCACATGCTTGTCTACTAACCAAAAGGTTGGAGGCTTTCCAAAGCTCACCTAGCAAGTAGCACCCAGAGGTGCCCCAGAGGAAAAGCCTGGTGATCCACTTCTGAAAAATCAGCCATTGAAAACTCTTTGGAGCACAGCCCTCCTCTGACACACATGGAGTTGCCATGATTTGGGGATGTCTTGATAGAAACTGTTTTTTTAAAAAAATGTTCTAGGGACTTCGTTATATTATTTGTAGACCTGGAATCCACCACCTGTCTATCAGTTTGTCGTAGTATGGTGGTTTACATGTTGCTATGATGCTGGAAGCTATGCCACCAGTATTTCACTAGGATCACCCATGGTGGACAGGGTGGAGCTTGCCCACTAAGATAGACTAGGAAGAAAGGTGTGATTATCTGCTTCCAAAAATTAGCCCATGAAACCTTGTGGATCACTGAGTATTGTCTGTGACTTCAACTCACTTGCTTTGGATCCATCATGAAGAGGGCCCGATCGCTGGAGAAGGAAGCCATGTTTGTTCCATGAGATGGCTTGACACAATGGCCATAACAATGAACCCAAAGTCACCAACAATCACAAGGATCATTGATTTCTGTTATGTATAGGGTGGCCATGAGTTGCATCTGCCTCTGTAGCAGCTAATAACATAACTAACAAACCCTACAATAATACTGAGGAAGAGATGTTAAGCTGAGGCTCAGAGAGACCAAGGGCTTCACCCAAGGTCACAAGCAACATATGATCAAGCACCCTTTGTAGGTGGTCAGACTATCTCCTAACAGAAACCCTGAGACCCTACAGCCCTCCACCCACCCACTGTTTGGAGCTCAGAGCCCTGGTCTTGCCCACAGATGAATCTCTGCAGTAGATAGAGGAGGCCTGTCCTCCCTCCCCACTGTCACCCTGCATCACCATGGTTTCTGATGTGCCCTAAGGAGCATGGTGTAGAAAGTACACCCCACACTAGGCTGAGAGTCAGGAAGACCTATCTTACTATCCCAGCTCTGCCACTTACCTGTTGTGGGACTTAGGGCCAGCAGCTCCATCTTGTGGGGCCTGTTTCCTCTTCTGCAATAGTTAGCATGACACTACAAAACCCTCCTCACAAGGTTGTGGAGGGGATGAAAAGACACTAGTGTAATCCGTAAAGTTTAGGGTGCTATGTATGTCAGTGCCAGCTGTTGGCCTCACTGTTTGCATCTGTACGATGACAACAGGGACTAGAAGATCCCTATGGGCACTTTCAGGTCTATGGTAACTCCTACAATCCAGAGGTTTTGGATGTGAGCAGCAGCAAACCTGAGATGTGATGTGTAGAGTGACCAAGGTTCAAATCCCAATTCTGCTACTTGCTATGTGAGCTTGGGAAAGTCTCTTTGATTCTCTGCAGTTATGAAGTTGGAGTAGTGAAGCTGTGAATGGGATGAGTGTTTAAACCATATAGCACAGAGGAGGTGCCTGACAAATTTTAACTTTGCCAAATAATAATAATAATAATAGTATATAGAAGAATTAAATATTAGGCCCTTTGCTTTAGCTTTTTTTTTTTTTTTTTTTTTTTTTTTTTTTTTTTTTGTAATGTTTGATGTCTTCTATTTTTAAAATGACCTAAAAAAAAGCATAACAAAAGTGTTAACATTCCTTCCTATACCAAAAGTGAGTGACCAACACAATAACACTAAGGAAAAGGAAGACACAGAAAGGTGCATGAGAGGTACAGACAACAAAGACAAACACTTTTACACACAGAATACTGCATTATCAGTAATAACAAACATGAATCTATGGGTGGATACATAGGTAGACAGGCTGAATGATCAGGTATGTCTAGGCAAAAGGGAATATACCCATGACCATATATAAGCTTGGCAGACAATATTTCTACATACATGTTTGTATTGCTATAAGAATGTCTGTATGTATAACAGAGTTATCAGGGGGCAAAGTTATGATAGTTTCTTAGCCGTGGCCAACCACACTGAAGGAGCTAGTTAATGGGCCCATGAGCTCAGGACCGTGGTCACGAGGGACATCAAGCTCAAATGGCATAATATACTACACAAAAACATTGTTCTACATCCTAGTTTAAGGAGTTCTTGTGGCATAGTGGATAAGGCATTTGGCTGCTAACCAGAAGGACAGTGGTTCAAACCCACCAGCTGCTCCACAGAAGGAAGATAGAGCGATCTACATCTTACTTTGATGAGTAGTGACTGAGATCTTAAAAGCTTGCAAGTAGACAACCATCTAAGATGCAATGATGGGTTTCTCCTCATCCAGAGCAAAGAAGAATGAAGAAAAACAAATTGGAAACAATTAGTCCAAGGGACTAGTGGACCATGTGAACCTCAGCCCATGTGACCCTGAGACCAGGATAACTATATGATATCTGGCTACCAGTGTCAACCACTTGGAAAGGTATCAAAATAAGAGATCCTGAATACAAAAAAAAAAAAAAAAAAAAACACCAAACCCACTGCCGTCAAATCTATTCGACTCATAGCAACCCCCATTGGGTTTCCAAGGTGGTAAATTTTTATGGAAGTAGATTGCCCAGTCTTGCTTCTGCGGAGTGGCTGGTGGATTTGAATCACCAACCTTCTGGTTAGCAGTCAGATGCCTTAGTCACTGTGCTACTAGAGCTCCTTGATCCTG